GGGAGCATTCTCTTGGTCTTCACCATATAGAGGGCATGTTTTTTGGGTCATATCAGGTGACCAATCTGAAAACAACCAGGAACCCAAGACTTTTTGTTCCAAATGTATCAAGCTCTCAGGAGAGTTTGTCTATCTTAGCCAGCCTATTTCTGGGAGTGTGGGGGATCTTTGGAATGGCTTCTTTGAAGAGGCTATTGAATTGTGTCACCACTGGAAATTCTAATTGTTGATGGCCAGAAGGTGGATCTTTTGCATTAGACTCCTAAATTAAAAAAAAAAAAAAAGGAAGAGAGAAAGAAAAGAAAAAAGGGGGAGAAAAAGAAAGATTTTAGAGATATCTTGTTCTAAATAATTTGTGGGAAGATCAAATTAAAAGACAGACACACAATAGTGTCATAATTAGCCTTAGACATTCTCTTTACTAAATTAAAGAGCAAAAATCTAACACAAAACAAAGTTAAAATCTTTTGTACTCTCAAACTGCCCACTTAGATGGCCCATGGGATCAATAATAAGAACCACTCCACCTTGTGACCTAATAGCTGGAATTTTACACTTTCACTGCCAGGTCCTAGGTTTGATACCTAGTCAGGGAACCAGTCCCTCTTGGCCTTGTGTTTGTGTGACTTTTGACTTTTTGAGGTACCATTCTTTTCTCTTCCATGGACAGCTTTTGAGTTCCCATTTTCTTCCATCTGTGGGTGGCACACAAGACTTTTGGGCCTTTATGTGCAGCTGGTCAGCTGAAAAGCTAAAACCCTAGAAAATATGGTCAGACAGAAATGTAAGTTGTGCCCCATTTGTGGCTAGTGAAAAGTTTTCTTTCTTTGAACTGTCTTTCGAGAGCTTCTAACTAGATATTGTGAGAACTGCCTTGTACCTCTTCAGAGATGCCTTGTACATCCTTGGTTAAGTCATAAACTTGGTTTATAAAATTACATCTTAGCTATAGCTTTATCTACTAGAAAAATCTACATGAATATGTCAATGGAGTTTTATCCCTGGAAGATAGGGTTGTAGGTGTTTTTTTTTTTTTTTTTTTTTGAGACAGAGTCTCGCTTTGTTGCCCAGGCTAGAGTGAGTGCCATGGCGTCAGCCTAGCTCACAGCAACCTCAAACTCCTGGGCTCCAGCGATCCTTCTGCCTCAGCCTCCCGAGTAGCTGGGACTACAGGCATTCGCCACCATGCCCAGCTAATTTTTTACATATATATATCAGTTGGCCAATTAATTTCTTTCTATTTATAGTAGAGACGGGGTCTCGCTCTTGCTCAGGCTGGTTTTGAACTCCTGACCTTGAGCAATCCGCCCGCCTCGGCCTCCCAAGAGCTAGGATTACAGGCGTGAGCCACCGCGCCCGGCTGTAGGTGCTTTTTGCTTGTTTGGTTTCAATTTTTCATTCATAAACATGTTCTGAGTTTGTAAATCTATTGCTATAATTAGAATTATGCACAAAATCCATGCCAAATAGATAAATGATATATTTTTTAATATCAGTTGGAATTTTTAGTGAGATATAGTTAGAGCTGCAGCTGCAAGGGTAAGAATTGAAATGCCATGGGGATGAAACTCACAGAAGGGAATGGAAGTTGATTTATTGGATTCTAGCCTTGCTCTGCCCAGCCCTTAATACTCTGCAGATAAAATGAGAAACCTCAAGAACAATGGTGTTCAAGCTTTATCGTGCATCTGATAACCTGGAGCCTATAGGTAGGCTCCACTCCTACTGGTTGTATTTCAGTAGGTTTGAGATCAGGCCTGGGAATTTGTATTTGTAACATGTTCCACGGCGATGCTAACGCTCCTGGTCTGGGGAACACAATTTGAGATTTCTTCTTTTAAAAGATTCAATTCCCGGCCTTTTCCAGGTTTCTAGCACTTCGCAGGTTGGCACAAGCCCACAGCAGGTAGGCGCGCAGACTCACTGTGTCTACAGGACAACAGAAGTTGCAACAGCTGGCCTAAGTGCTCCCCCCCAACTTGGAGCATCACTTTGGGAAAATTTAATCTGCATCATAGCCACTGCTGCTTCTCCTTTTATTTTTTCTAGCCTCCTATAAAGCAAAGCCCTTTTGGAGAATGGAGTGGGTGAGTTGCTGGCTGGAACCCCTTGCCCTCTTTCCACCCACTCCGGACACACTACTCCACTAGGACCTCATATTAACCAGTTATATCTTCAATGACTTTATTCCAAATAGGGTCATATTTATAGGTTCTGAGGGTTGGGACAATATATCTTTATGGGAGACACAATCTATCCCACAAATGAGTGGAAAAGGATGATTAATAAGTGGAATGTGGGGACATAGTGTTTTGCATCAACATAGGGCCCACCCAATGTCTTTCTTCAACACATATTTGTCACCCTATTCTGTAATAGGTTTATAAGGGAAACTAGCTCTTCAACCAACTAGCTCTTCAAAAACTAGCTTTTTGAAGTGTAAATAAAATTTCCTTACTTCTGTTTCACAGGTGGGGTGATCCACCTCAAATCTTGACCTAAGAACATAGCCTATGCCAGTTCTCTTCATGCACAGGACTGTAAATTGACCTCCTCTCCAAGTGTACATGGAAACTTGAGCCCCAGCTAATATGGCCTAATTCTGATTCTGACATCCTCAGGAGTCATTTGGTGTCATATCCAGTGTACCACTCTCTGTGAGTGTTGAATTCGAGTATTTCTGTGTGCTTGGAGCGGAAGGTGGGCCCAGGGTCAAGTGACTCAAAATTGGGTCAAAGGTTTCTTCCTCATCAGCTTAGTGTACTTTTTAGACCTGAAATTGTAACTTCCTACTTGCTCACTTCATTCACCTGGTTAAAATCTGGGGTCTCTTAATGTCCAAATACAATGAGCAAATTTCAGATTGCATCTGACTTCATTTCTCTGCCACTTTTGGTACTATAACTACTCTGTGGCTTTCAGAATATGGTTGATCATTTCTTTTTGGTTTATATGTAAACTGTGTATCCTTCTCTTGCCTGTCCATGTTGGCATGGACAAGAGTTCTGTTTTGGGCTATTTTCTTTCATCATATTAAAAAAAAAAAAAAACCCAAAAAGCTAAAATGCATTTGTTTCATATAAAAATCTAAAAACATACACAAAAATAGAATATTGTTATGTAGATCATAAAATTCATATGGAAATTCAACCTACCCAGTATATCCAATAAAATCTTGAAAAAAATAGAATAAACTTGAAGGAATCACACTTCTTGATTTCAGCTTACTATAAAGCTACAGTAATCAGGATAGTGTAGTCTTTATCATAGAAATATGCAGGAGGGAGGACGGAGGGATGTGAGAAGGCAATGACTAAAGGGGTCAGGGTTTCTTTGGGGGGAGATGGAAATTGTTCTAAAATTGTGACAATACTTGCATACCTCTGTAAATATAACTAAAACCCATTGATTTTTACATTTTAAATATATGAACTGTATGGCATGTGAATTATATCTCAATAAACCTGTAACCACATACACACACACGGTAGTATAATCACCAATCCCAATCTACCAGCTACTAATATTCAACATTTTTCCAATCTTATTCCATCTACTTGCTTACAGTTAAGAGGGCCTGATTTTTAAGTTTGATTTTTCTTGAATTGTCAAAATTTGCATACATGCTTAGAAAGATATTGCTTGCTGAATTTGTTAGATATTTAAAGGTTTAGGGCACCCAGATGTAACAAAGTTGTTAATAAGGTTTGAAATGTGTAAGGCAGGCGTCCTCAAACTACCGCTCACGGGCCACATGCGGATGTTTTTGCCCGTTTGTTTTTTACTTCAAAATAAGATATGTGCAGTGTGCATAGAAATTGGTTCATAGTTTTTTTAAACTACAGTCTGGCTCTCCAAGGTCTGAGGGACAGTGAACAGGCCCCCTGTTTAAAAAGTGTGAGGACCCCTGGTAAGGCATTAATTCCCAAACTTTGCTGGAGGAAAGGGAAGCTTTTAAAATCCCAATGCCCAGCTGTCACCCCATGCCAATTAAATCAGAATGTCTGAGGAGGGCAGGAGGAGCAGGGCTTCAATGTTTAATGATACTCCAGGAAATTCCAATGTGCTGTAAAGTTTGTAAAACACTTGTCAGGTAATTCATTTATGTGAATTGTAAAAGATGTTTCAGTAGGATCTATTATAATTTATTAATCTTATGATTTAATTAATTTTTAATCAAATAACAAAATGAAAAATATATTTCTAAATCAAATAACAAAATCGGCAAGATGGACTAAGCTTGAGATGAAAATTTCAAAATATACAATTGTCCAGACACAGTGACTCACACCCATAATCCCAGCACCTTTGGGAGACAGAGGCAGGAAGATTGCTTGAGGCCAGCAGTTTAAGACTAGCCTGAAATTGGGTGAGTCTGTTTCTACAAAAAATAATTAAAGAAAAAAAATTAGCCTGGCGTGGTGGCATGTGCCTGTAGTCCCAGCTGCTCAGGAGGCTGAGGCAGGAGGATCCTTTGAGCCCAGGAGCTTGAGGTTGCAGTGAGCTATGATGTCGCCGCTGCATTCCAGTCTGGGCAACAGAGGGAGACTTTGTCTCAAAAAAAAAAAAATGTAGAATTGAATTTTGAAATTATTAAATATTTAGATCAGAAAATTGTGAAATATACTTTCCTCAATCAGCAACGCCTCCTCAGGACTTAGAAACTAGGGGGCGGCTGGGTCACTGTTTCACAAGGAGGTAACCTCTGCTGCAGAAGAGAGAAAATTCAAGCCCAGGAGACACATTTCTTTTCACCAGGGGTTCAGAAAGAGATCTCAATCACAAGAGAGTTTTATTGGGCATCCCCGGAGCCTCGGCAATGGCTCCAGGGTGACTTCTTGGTCCGTCTCTGTTTCCCCGCCCCCGCAGGGGCGGGGACGCGTCGGGACTCGAGGTCCGAGCCGGGGCAATGGGCCCGCAAGCCAGGCCGGCGCTTCTCCTCCTGATGTTCTTGCGGACCGCGGTCCCGCAGGGGCGACAGCCGCGTGAGTCCGAGGGCTGCGGGCGAGCTAGGGGCGCGGCGGGGGAGGAAAACCGAAACTAGCTTTGCTTGGCGTTAGGGAGTTTTCTAACTTCCGAGGACTCGCTCAGCCCCATCCGCAGCCCCTTCTCGCTACTCAGAGTCCAGACCCGGAAGGGGTCGCTGCAGACGGGATCTCCGGCCCCAAGACCTGTCCCCTCCGCCACCCCCTCTCTCCTCGCTCTGCGGAGTGACATTTGGAACCACCCACCCCCTCCCCAGACCGCGACTCTTTTAAATAAATCCAGTAGTTAATCACTTGAGCTGAGCTGAGCCTGGGGCTCCTTTGATTCGGATCCCGTTTTCTGTTGCTGTTGTTGCTAATGTCCGCTGTGCGGTTTTCCCCCAGTCGTCTCCAAACAGGAAGTTCTCACCGAGGGCGGCTCGGGCCGGGCGCCCGCAGGGCAGCCTGAGCTAACCCGCCGCGGACTCGCGCGGGGTTTCCACCTCGGCACCAGTCGCGCGGGGCGGTGCAGGTGTGGAAGAGTGGGGTTGGGATCTGAATTCTTTCCACTCCACCCCCTTTTGGGGAGGTGGAGGCCGCTGGGGGTGGGAGGCTCCTGAGAAAGGCCTACCTTGGGCCTTTCCAGACTCTTGGCGCTTGTTCTTTTGACTGGAAAATTAAGTATATATTGTTTTTGAACCTTGGAACGGAACATAACAGTTCTCTTTTTCAGCCAGGCTTTGTTGACTTTGCAACGTGCTGTATAATTAACGGGCTTTTTCTAAAGGATGCCAAAGTAATAATAATTATAGCATTTCATTTAAGCAATGAAGTCAGTTTTAAATAGCATTCATATCTGTGATTTTATTTGACTCTCATTAGGCATTAGGAGGTAGGAGCTATTAATAGGTTTATTTTACTAGTGGTTAACTGGCCCTCAAATTAAGTAACTCTTTCCAGGTTACAAAGAAGGTAAACAATCTGGTTTTCTGATGTTAAATCAGATTCTACCACTGCTTCTGATCTTAGCTGACAGTGATTTTGCCCTGTAGTCTAGCACAGTGCTCTGCGATTTACATGCAGTACCACAGCAGCCTGCATACTAGTAATTGTTTTATGGTACATTGGACTTTGGTGGCAGAGCCCATGTCTCCACATCACAGCTGTGATTTTCAGACGTCACACTGCATTAGAGGCTGAATAATAAAATTTGATGTTGAACCGAAATAGTCACTGTTCACAAGTGTAGAATGAGCCCAGCCATGTGTTGCACTGTTCTAGGCCGCGGGGGTGGGGGCAGCAGAGAATCAAGTTTTTTGCCCTCTGAGATTTCGCATTCTAGTGGGAGAGAGGACAACAAACAAATGAGCAGAAAGATATACAATGTTGGCTAGTGATGGGTGCTGTGAAGACATGTGAAGCAGAGAGGTCAGGACAAGCCTCTCTGAGGCTGAACAGAGACCCAAAGAAAATAAAGGTGATGCCGACTGGGGTGGCGCTTCCCAGGCAACTGAGTGGGCCTGGCAAGTTAGGTTGAAGCAGGTTTTCTCAAAACTACTGACTTTTTTTTTTTCGTTTTTGGCTGAGGGAAGGTGGTGGCTGTTGCATGCATTGTAGGATGTCTAGCATCATCCCTGCCCTCTACTCAGGATAGCAGCACTCCTTCACTTGTGACAATCAAAAATGTCCCCTGGGAGACAAAATGTCCGGGTTAAGAGCTGTGATGTTGAAAGAAGAGCAAGGAGGGTCAGGGCTGGAGGCAGAGAAGTAGGTAAGGAGCTCAGAAGAGGAGCCACAAGCCAGGCTATGTGGGGCCTATAGGCTATGGTGTGGATTCTAGCCAAGGAGTGACATGATTGATCTGCCACAGGTTTTAAAGAATGCTCTGGCTGCTATGTGGAAAACAGAATGAAAGGAGCAGCACTAAAAGCAGAGAGCCCAGCCAGAGTGCTGTTGCACCTACTGCAGGCAAGAGGTGGTGGAGTGAGCTGGGTGAGAGGACAAGAGGGGGTGAGAAACGTTGTATTCTGGATATATTTTGAAGGAATCCTTGCCAAAGGATTCTATGTTGTGTGAGAGAAGAATCAAAATGGGCACTATTCTTTAATGATTTAATTTTAATTGTATTTTATTGGCCTGAGCAATGGGCTGATTGGTGATGCCATTTCAGAGATGGTGAAGGCAGAGGAAAGAGCAGTTTGGAGGGAAATCAGCTGCCTGGGATTGGACATGTTAAGTTTGAATTCTAGTCAGGTATCTAAGTGGTGATGTCACATAGGCAGTTGGCTGTAAGAGTGTAGAGTTCAGGGCCAGAATTAAAAATCTAAGAACCAGCCGGGCGCGGTGGCTCATGCCTGTAATCCTAGCACTTTGGGAGGCTGAGGCGGGCGGATTGCTCAAGGTCAGGAGTTCGAAACCAGCCTGAGCAAGAGCGAGACCCCGTCTCTACTATAAATAGAAAGAAATTAATTGGCCAACTAATATATATATATATAAAAATTAGCCGGGCATGGTGGCGCATGCCTGTAGTCCCAGCTACTCGGGAGGCTGAGGCAGCAGGATTGCTTGAGCCCAGGAGTTTGAGGTTGCTGTGAGCTAGGCTGATGCCACGGCACTCACTCTAGCCTGGGCAACAAGCGAGACTCTGTCTCAAAAAAAAAAATAAAATCTAAGAACCATTATTTATTCATTTTTCCAACAAATATTTATGAAGCAACTACTACATGCCAGGTGCTGTTCTAGGCATGGGGGATGCACTTCTGAACTCCCTCATTCTATAACTGAGGGAAGGGGGGCTCCTGTGTTTGCTTGGAACTGTTGTGATGCTAAAACGTTGCCCTGAGCTAGTTATCAGCAGATCCTCCAACATTTCACAGGAAATATTTGTACATGAAAAGGTTTAGAGATGAAGTGGTAAAAAAAGACAGAAGAGCAAATTCCTCAGGACTTGGATCTGATTTGCTCTGAGCACCAACTTCTGAGCTCAACTACCATGGCTAGAGACACCTTAGGATTTTCTGGAGTCTGTCCACTCCAGGGGAAACTGCCTGATTGTGAGTAATGAGTCAGGGTCTGGGGCAGCGAAAGGGTGGCAGCCACATGTGGCAGAGGGAGGTACACAAGAAGAGAGCGGCCACGACTGTCATATGGATGGAAGACAGGACTCTGTCTCACTTTTCACAGGGTGTGGACCAGACACAGCTGTTGGTACAAGTTGATTCTGTTGTGTGGCGCCTCTTCCTCCCAGTCCCCCCTGCTGGGTGTGGCAAAGGCCTGTTGCTATCTCTCCAGGTTCGCACTCTCTGCACTACCTCTTCATGGGTGCTTCAGAACGGGACCTTGGGCCTTCCTTGTTTGAGGCTTTGGGCTACGTGGATGACCAGCTGTTCGTGTACTATGATCATGAGAGTCGACGAGCAGAGCCCCGAGCCGCGTGGGTCTGGAATAGAACCTCGAGCCAACTGTGGCTGCAGCTGAGTCAAAACCTCAAAGGGTGGGATCATATGTTCATTGTTGACTTCTGGACTATCATGGACAACCATAACCACAGCAAGGGTACGTGGAGTGGGGGGGCCTCACCTTTCTGAGGTCGTTGGAGCTTTTTACCACCTCAGGGTTACATCTTGAGGGAGAGAGCTGGAAGTCTGAGGTCTGGGAGGCAGGGAAGATGTTTGCTTCCCGAGACTGGTCCTTGAGGATGGTGGAAACAGGGACCTACTCCTTTGGTTTCAGTAACAAGTCTGGGGGTGTTTCTAGAGTCCCATACCCTACAGGTGATCCTGGGCTGTGAGATGCAAGAGGACAACAGCACCAGGGGCTTCTGGAAGTATGGGTATGATGGGCAGGACCACCTCGAATTCTGCCCTGAGACTCTGAATTGGAGAGCAGCAGAGCCCAGGGCTGAGGCCACCAAGCTGGAGTGGGAAGTGCACAAGATTCGGGCCAAGCAGAACAGAGCATACCTGGAGAGGGACTGCCTTGAGCAGCTTAAGCAGTTACTGGAGCTGGGGAGAGGTGTTCTGGACCAGCAAGGTATGGTGGAAACTTCTGTGCCCACACTCTAGTGGCAGAGTGAGAAGGATACAAGGCATGGGATATATTGCTGTGGTTTCAGAGGTGGCTGAAGTGGGACTCTCCAAGTTCTGGGAACAGACTTACCCAATCCTAGGGTCTCCATCTTATAATTGAGATATATAACACAGCCATGAGCTGTAGTTTTAATTTTTCTTCTCCATGCATATGGCCAAAGACGTCTATGACCTTTTTTCTATTTAACCAACAATCCTATATGTATTTATACATTTTAGGAATTCAGAGATGTCAATTGTCACATGACTACCAAGATGAGGAAATACAAGTGAGGTCACCCATCAGAGCAGCAGATTCCTTTAGGTTAAAAATTTCTTTCACAGAACATAGCAATAATCACTGAAGCTGGTTCTTTTACAAAACCCCTTCTTGCAAGGAGAATACCTACTAGATTGAACCAGGTGAAATTGATAATCTGTATTCAATCATTTTTGATGCACATAAAAAGCAATTTCATCTGTCAGAACAGAGAATATGGGTAACATATTTACATAATGGACAAGAGAACAGGCTGACATGACTGTGACTGTGTTACATGTGACACTGCCTTAGAGCCCAATCTTGGAATGAGTTTTAGGACACAAAATGGTGTGTGTCTCTCCTGCAGCTTATTTTTTTGTTGTTGTTGTTTTTTTTAAGGACGGGAAAGGGTGTTTCCTTCCTCCAACCCTTAGAAGGAAGTGAAAATTCCAGTCTTCCTGGCAAGGTTAAAAATATCCCTTCTTCTCATCCTTCCTCTTTTCTGTCCAGTGCCTCCTTTGGTGAAGGTGACTCATCATGTGACCTCTGCAGTGACCACTCTTCAGTGTCAGGCTTTGAACTTCTACCCCCAGAACATCACCATGAAGTGGCTAAGGGACAGGCAGCCACTGGATGCCAAAGAGTTTGAGCCTAAGAATGTGCTGCCTAATGGGGATGGGACCTACCAGGGCAGGGTAGCCTTGGCTGTGCCCCCTGGGGAAGAGCAGAGATACACTTGCCAAGTGGAACACCCTGGCCTGGATCAGCCCCTCATTGCCACCTGGGGTATGTGACAGATGAGAGCCAGAAGCTGAGAAAATCCGTTGTGGGTAAAATGGGAAGGGGTAGGGGATAGGAAGAGAGGGCCCTGGGGGATCAACATGGCAGTGAGAGGAGGGTCTGCTCTTTGTTGGGGGTTGGGCTGGGGCTGGCAGTCACAGGCTTTAACTTGCTTTCACTGTTTTAGAGCCCTTGCCATCTGACACCCTGGTCATTGGAGTCATCAGTGGGATTGCTATTTGTGTCATTATCTTCTTTGTTGGAGCTTTGTTCAGAATATTAAGGAAGAGGCAGCCTTCAAGTGAGTAGAAACAAGGAGGAAGTATCTTAGTACCTCTGGCCCCAGGATACAGCTGTCCTCTTGCAAGAAGTGGGGCAGAGGGAGGGCAGAGGGGATTTGACATCCATGGGAAGGTTTATTCTCTCTTATTTTCTTCGGGGACACTAGCACCTTCCTGGGAACAAGAAAGGAAGTAATGGTTTTTCCCATATTGAAAGTTCCTAATTCAACAAACATCTTTTGAGCACCTACTATTTCGCAAGTGCTGTTTAAGGTGATGCAGGAGCTTTGCGGTTGAGAAAGTCACTGTTGCTATTCTCAGAACCCAAATCTAGTAGGGAATGGAGTCCATGACAAGTAGATGCAGTTAAAGAAGACCCCCTGAGGTCCGAAGGCAAGTAGGAAGCAGATACTTTTGGGTGTCAAAGGAATGATCCTGTTCAGCTAAAGATAAAGAAAGGCTTCTGATTCCTGAAGGAGAAGTGGGATTTCTTCAGGTGAGATTGAGGATGAGGGGAGGTTGTTCTACACAGGTGGAACAACCATGCCAAGTGGGAGAATGTGAGGCATATGGGGAGGTGAGAAGTAATTACTGTACCTTGTCCTGACTTTGTATACCTGTCAGGCACCAATTCTGCATTTCTACCCCTTGAACATCTGTGGTGTAGGGAAAAGAGAGGCAGACCGAAGCCAGGTTGTATAGAGTCTTGAGAACTTTTGGGACATTATGTTATGATCATTGAGGAGTCAATAAAGGAACATAAGCACAGAGGGACATGATCTCCCTTGTGTACCAAATGGGTTGTAAGGAGGTGTGATGGGAGGTGAGGAGACCAGTTACCAGGGCAATAAGCAATTCCAGATGAGAGATAAATCCAGTAGTGCACTGGGATGACAGTGGTCAAAATCGAGATGGGCGAATGAGGAAGGTGAGGGACGGGGAAGAGGCAAGATGATGCCTAGGTTTGTGATGCCTCTCTCCTGGGTCTCTTGTCTTCACAGGAGAAACCATGGGGGACTACGTCCTAGCTGAATGCGATTGATGTGCAGCCCACAGACCCATTGTGGGGAAAAGAAAAAACTAGAGACTCAAAGAGGGGCACACTTGTGGAGCTCTTCATGTTCAGGACAGAGTTGGACCCAACAGACAGAAACTGCATGAAGAACTCTTTGCTTTTAGCCTTCCCTATTCATTTTCTCAAAAAGATTTCCTCATTTAGGTTTTTGAGCTCCAGCATGCCAGTGACCCCAGCTGTGACCTCTCCCCCAGAGCTGTCTGTCATGAATCTCAAACTGCATAGAGAGGCTTCCTTCATTTCCTCCATCACCTCTGACTCCATACAGCTATCTCATCTCCTACCTCTGGAAGAGGGCTGCTTAAACCTTGAGGACTCACAAGTCATTTTAACGTATGAAAACATGAGAAAAGCTATGAACCTTCTTCACCCTGGGACATGCACACTCATATCCCTACCAGAATTTTGCACACATATCCAGGCATTTCCTGGACTTATTTACCTTTCCTTTGAATCTTTTCTTTGTTATCCAGTAACTCATCTGTCACCAAGCCTTGGGGACTCTTCCATCAAAGTGTGATCTGTGTCATTGTGCATCTGTGAAGGCTGGGGAATGCACAAACTTTCCTAGAAAAGGCATCATGGATGTTTATGTCTATTATGATGGGTGGTTTAGCAAATGGGAGGAAAGTGTCTTGAAGGCCCTTGGGGAGTGGTGTCTTTTTCTAATTTGCACAGAGATGTCCTATAGGCTTTCAAAGATTAAGGATGCCTACATCTGCAATGCTGCTCTGGTATTCCAAACCTGAAGTACCACAATAATTTTCCACCTGATCTCTGCTGACTCTCCTTGTTCTGATAATGAAAATCATGATAAAGATTGTGGTAATAATGATAATGTGGCTAATAATTATTAAAAATAAAAACACTTAGTTGGTGCCAGACTGTGTTCGAAGCACCTACTTACATGCCTTACTACATGGTAAGCACTATTATCTACATTTTTTTTTTCATTTTTTGTTGGAGAAAGTGAAATACAGAGTGTCTCATAGCTTGCGGGGATGGAGACAGGTTTCAAACACAGTCATTCTTGCTGTTTGATCCATCTCACTCCCCACTGCATTTTGGTGGTTTTTAGATGCACAGAGTTAATGGAGAGGGACGGAGATGGCTATGGAGATGGCTCTTCCCTTGTCTCATTGTGCTTCTTCTCAGTGAGCTCTAACCAAATGAAGAGAAACAGGAGAAAACAAGCTATTGATCCTCAGATGCCATGTTTTCTTTCAAAGTCCCTGTGGGAAGTCCCTGGAATGTGGCTCCTTTTCTCCTCTCTTGCTCTCTCTGGCGTCTATATCTCTGGACCCCATACAAGGACAGTGATTGGTGGGGACACTTAGTGGCTGTGCTGGGCTTTAGACACAGTGTTCTCACTCAGTGCTTCCTGAGTGGTATTTCCCTTGATGAACTGGAGCAACCTGTCTCATTTTGAGATGGTTAAAACAGAAACCACCAAATGGCTTGAAGGATGCCCAAGCATCATCTTGCTGGCGTCACTAGGATTCTGGTTCTTATCTCCAATTGTGCACATTCAACAAAAATTCATCTAACCCAGCCACTCAGGAATTACTGGATACTGGGAAAGAGATTAATCTGACATATCATACATATATCTCCAGAGGGCATGTATTTACTTTATGCTATTACATACATTGGGCTGCATAGCTGTGGTACAAGCACGCTGTCTTGGAGGGCAGATGCCCATCAGGAGACCAAGCACAGCTCAAAAATTTGTTTTGTAGGTACTGAATTTGGGTGAAGAGATCTCAACATTTTTGTAAAAACCTTTTTTGCTTTTGTCTTGTTATGAAAGTTATGTAGAAAAAAGCAAAAGTAATTTGTGCTCATTGCAGAAAAGTCAAAAGATGAATAAAAGTAAAGCTATTATTTAATTAGCCAGTGATCAACTTTATTAACAACTTGCATATTACCTGTTAGTATTATTGCTGTATGAAAATATATAAAATTAACAAATACATATATTTTAATAAATGTATAATTGTGTTGTATACTGCATGATTTTACTGATGTTATCATCCATCTCATGTGTATACTTTAAGCATGTCATTTTGGAAATATTTGTATTGCTTCTAATATTCTTACATTTTGTTTTATGGAATATTTTCATTGAACTGTGGTAACTGAATTAATTGTTTTTCTTCACTGTAGGGACCTAATCATCTAAGTTATAAGACATTGGTTATTTTAACTCCAAACCACACTGAAAACACACTAACAAGTTCTTCCTCTCTAAATATCATCCTATATTCAAAGTGGACTGCCCAAAGGCTTCACTTGCTCTTCTACCTCATGAAGAATATGTTAATTAATTAGGTAACAGTTTGTTTTATATTGGTTTTATTTCACATGGGCTAAGATTTGAAGAAACACACTAGTATTTCACACTAGTGTTACTAGTCTTCACAGTAACATATTTGCTAAGCATTGGCAACTGTGGCCTGTTAATTTTATTTTTAAATAAAATTATAAATCACCATTTTCTTTCAGTGTTTTTAAGCTTTGTTTCTGATATTTTTAGCTTAATTTTTCTGGCTGTGTTCATTAATTCTTGAGGCCAGTTTCATTTGAAAAATCAAAGACCTGAATTTTAAATTCTGTGTTTTATTTCCCCTTTGGCAAAACCGCTCAGAGGCAAAGCATGGTAGTAAGGAGAAGGGTGACACCTGGTGGCCATAGGTGGATGCAGCACAGGTGTCACGTGACTGGAGAATGCCCAGGCTGGAGGTTTTCCTGAGGGTAAGGGGCTGGACAAGGATGGTAGACTGGAGACCACTTGTAGAGAAAAGCTGCCGAAAATTTGAGAAGACAAACAAACTGCTCACCACCTATTTGAATCATAGGCCACTGTTAAGCTGCCTGAACTGGGAACAGAACAAAAAGAAAACAAATAATTTTAGTAATCTTTGAGCCAAGTACAGCAGGTGACTTAAGCCTGGTAGGAGAAACAGGCCAAAATTCTTGTTATGTTATGTTGTAATAATGTCATCTTATAGTGCTGTGTATACTTTGTGTATTATAAAACATTCTTCATGGACCCACACACATTTTAAAACCAAGCATTTTCTCTAAAATGCAAAAATTTCTTATATGGTATCATTTTTAAACTACCATGTTTTTCCTAACCACACTCTGATTTAATAATGACTAGCACTCAAACATGCATGGCTTTGAACAGTGAAGATTTCCACATGCAGGCTGGTATTTGTAATTTTGATTCTTTTTGTAGACTTTGGCTCATAATGTGTTCATTTCCCTTTTCGCATCCGTGATTAACTTCTACACTCTAACATGTAGAATATTAAGATAATATTAAAGTATTTTATTAGAAAGCCTGGGCTGCCTTGACAACATCTTGCACACATTTGTTATTTGGCATGGTGTGCATTCTGGTATCTCAAGCATTTTGTTTCTGAGTAATTGTTTAAGGTGTGGAAGAGATAGATATGATGTGTTTTGAATAGATATTTCTGTATCTTCTATTTCTTGGCTGGATGAATTTGCATATTGAAGGTCTTCTTTGGTGTAAATATTTTTTTCAAACTAAATTTTCAACTGATTATTATTAAATATTTACTAGATGTTAAGCTCTGTTCTATACTTAATTTAATTCCTCCAAAGAATCCTATGAGGCAGAAATTATTGTTATGCTATTGCCCTTATTTTGTTGTTAGGAAAAACCAAGGCACAGTGAGTTTAGTTAACTTGCTAGAGGTTACACAGCCGAACATGGCTATGCTGGATTTTTATTCCAGCCATTCTGGCTCAGAGTCAATTTCATAACCACTATACAATCTTATTTGGGTCAAGAAAACATATGGTGTGGTATTATTACCATATTGTTGATATACTACTTGAAAACTATTGATTCTGCTGCCTGGTAGTAGCACCCATGATGTTTTCTATAGGCTCCCTGTTATTTTTTCCTAAATATTTTGAAACATTTCTCAGGTGTGTTTTTAAATTTCAGAATATTTTGTTTGGTTCATGTACACATTTTTAACTATTGAATTTCTCTTTATCATTCAGGGAGAAATTTGGGGACGGGTAGCTTGAAGCATCTGCAAATCATTTTATCCACTTAAATTTGGGTACAAAATATTGTTCTAATTATTTTTTAAAAAACAAATTCTGTCTTTTTATCTGAAGATTCTAAAAAGAATTTTGGAGTCTTCAATCCATTCTTTTGGGGGGTAAGTACCAATATTTGTACAAATTTCAGTACAAGTGTTACTAGTTAACTTTATGAGTTAAGTAAATATCCTGAGCTTATTTCTTAAACTGAATTACCATAATGGCACTTTCATAAAACTATCAATAACCAACTTCATTATTGCCAAAAGAGTTTTACTTTGCATATGAAAACATCTGTTTTAAATATGAGTCTTTGTGTAAGTTTGGGTTCACAGTTTAATCAATAAAACAAATGTAAAATACTTTGTGTTTTCTGTGTGCAAATAAGAAAGTATTCAAGGGAATTTTGAAAATCAAATTTAATTACCACCATGTTTAGAAAAATTTTGAACCAAATATTTGAGGAAGGATAATGTTAGAATTCTCTGTCCAAATAAATTTTTTTAAATAGGTCAAAGGGTATTAAGAGGGTTTATGGAGACTGCCTACACAAGGACAGCAAACTTAGCAAGTGCAAATGAAAAAACCTTTTAGTAAAAGAGTTTAGACTGAAAAGAAAAAGCAGGAACATTTTCCTACAAAAGTAAGGAGTAGAAGTAAGAAAAATATGCAGAGACATAGGATATGTGCTGTGGAAAGAAAGATGTTCAAATGGGAATTACAGTTCAGAAAAATGAATAAGAAACTAAATATTCCTAACCAGAGTATAGGCTAGGTTGTTGAAAAAGTGAAATTCAGTGAATTTTTAGATGGGAGCGAGATACATCAGTCATTGGCTAGAGAAGCTGTTTGCACAAGACCAGGAGTGGTATCCCCAAATGGCTACGGATAACTGTTGTGATGTTATAAAGCTCCAGTCCAAGTTGAGTGACACTGTACTTATACATTCTCTCAACTGTAATATAGCTCGAAAGTATTTCTACTCTGGGATTTCTTCACTTTGTACTAAAGCAGTTATACACTTAAAAGTGATGGTGTGTGTCCAGTGGACTGCTTGTGGTTCTCAACGTTGGAAGGTGTTAATATCAGAATTGTTTGTTGAATATGCAGGTGCCATATACAAGATGTATACTCACCCCCAAACACACCATATGCCATCCCTGAAATCTGGTATTCTGATAGAATTAGTCTGTGGAGGGTAATTCTGGGCATTTCATATTTTTATAAGACCTCTGATTGATATCATAGTTTTATTTGTTTGAATGTTTTGTGTGTCCTATTAGCCACAACTTGTTTGCAGAGTTTTTATCTAAAGAGCCTACCCAACATGTTGAATGAATGAGGTTCACATGGAAGGTGAGAGGACATGAAAAGGAAAGAACAGGAAGCCATATAGATTCAGGGAGGAGCCACTCTTCTCCCAAACCACATGATTGAGTAATACCTGCATTCTTCCCAGAGTGGAAGGATTTAATATATATCCATATATATATATCTCCTATATATTATATTATGTATATAATGTAATATATTATATATCCTATATATTATGTATATAATATATATATTTTATATATATATAATTACATATATATATATATGCCCCCTTTAAATTTCTGCCCTGACATTCCTTGTTTTTGAGTGACTGGTCATTGAGAAAAATTAGAAAAGAGGATATTAAAAGGAAAAAAATAAATGTCAAAATAAAAGTGATGGCAGCATTGGTGGTATAGTTGTGAGCATAGCTGCCTTCCAAAATAAAAGTGAGGGTTTTTTTTAACGATACAATAGGCAAAATAAAGGAAAGACATCCTAGGCCTTTGGATTAAATGCAGATTAAACTTGCTGGGATGTGTTTCAAGGTAGTTCATACCATGTATTTTTGCATGAAATTATTGTATACACTATATTTTTATTTTTTTCATGAATCAAATAGCACATTGAGATTTCAGAGTTTCACGTATGATGTCAGTCCTTGCACCTTTTCTCTGTAATGTTTGGTATTCCTTCCTAAGTCCCCTGTGTATAAGGTGTGTGTTTGTCTCAAGGAGTGCGTAGTGAGAGTCAGGAACTTAAAAATCTCTCAATTTAGGGTAGAAGAATCCAACCCACTTAATTATTTCAGAAGTATTACAAACCATATGACATTTATAATGTTCCTGTCCTCTCCTGTATCTTTTTTCTACTTCTTTGGGTCTCTTCTCTTCATATGAGCAAGTCTGAGGTTATAATATGTCACAGGCCACATTCTCATTCTAAGTATCCACAATAGGCATTTATTTATTAACTGGAAGGTGGTGGTGATGGGGGTGGTGGTTTTTTGTTTATTTTTTTAAACAAGAGTGGTTTTTACCGTGCACATTTGCAACAATTGCAGGAGGAAACTAAGGGGAAAATTTTGAATTGAGAAGTCTCTCTCTTCAAATCACATTCAAACCCAATTCTGTTGGGATTAGCCTTGTTTTGGCATCAATAATCTTATCAAAGTCCTCCCAGACAAGGACCCTATACGCTTTGAAATGACCTTAATCAAGGATTAGCCTTATACTTCAATTAATCCCCAACTCTACAAAACATCATGTTCTTGTCTCTAAAGCTGGAGCAAGTTGAAAGGGGATTATTAAAGGAGAGAAGGGAAGAGTTTGGAATTGTAGACACACCAGACAGATAGATGCAGCAGGCCAGGAAGAGGGTCCAGGGGCAACCGATTATTACAGTTTAGCTTTGTTTCTTGCCTCTCAGACTTTTGCATAAAAAGGACTCAGTCAATAAATATTTTAATTGAGGTAGGAAAAGAAAAGAGGAAGAAGTTTGCACTTATGAAGTTTTAATTTGCAATTATTTGTCTACCTTTTTGTCTTCCCAAATATAGGACCTTTAGGGGCAGAGCTTCGTAGCCAGGCTTATACTTGGTCCAGCACAGAGAAGTCCATAAAAGTGCGTCAGTTTAAATAGGAATATTAAAATGACTGAGAGGGAAAGTCCCTTAACCTATATATTTGTACCTTCCCCAAGGAATTACTTAATTTATTAGTTACTGAGTGGAAATAATAAGAAATGTGGAATGGGGCTCCTTGCTCCCCATCATTGAGCTGATAGCAATACAGTACTTTAAACTTGTAGATGCGCTGGGACAGAATAAAGCAAGTCAAAAGAGAAACTAAGGCTTTGCAACCCAGTGAAATCTGTACCTTTCCTTCCCACCAAGAGCAAGGTTTTATTGACCAATCAAAACATTGATATCCTAATGAAACATTTTTTTTTTCTTGCTTTACCCGCTTAGTGGCCTAATTTGGACAAACGCTGCCAACGAATTTTGTTTTTAATCAGATCCGCAAAAGAGGTATTTAAGAGACAATAATTTCTGGGCTGTCATTGCGTTAGGAACCATGTCTGGCCGTGGCAAAGGCGGTAAGGGCTTAGGAAAGGGGGGTGCTAAGCGCCACCGAATGTTGCGTGGCAACATCCAGGGCATCACCAAACCCGCAATCTGGCGTCTGGCCCGGCGCGGACGTGTCAAGCGTGTTTCTGGTCTCATCTACGGGGAGACTCAGGGCGTGCTTAAGGTTTTTCTGGAGAACGTTATTCGAGACGCTGTCACCTACACAGAGCACGCAAAGCGCAAGACGGTTACCGCCATGGATGTGGTTTATGCGCTAAAACGCCAGGCGCGCACCCTTTATGGCTTTGGAGGCTAAACGGGGTAGGATACAGCTACTTTAAAATTGGAGAAAAAAAAAAAAAAGGCCCTTTTCAGGGCCGCTCACAAAGTCAGATAAAGAGCTGAAATTCGTTGCTGTAATGTTTTAAGTTAGTGCCAATCTGCATAAGGCTGTTGACAAGTAGGCACAGTTTTGTGGGTTTTCTTGTACTGCAGCTATGTTTATGTGATTTAGTGTAACAAAGAAATTGAAGTTATTTTTTTTCATAGAGAAAAGGCAGATCTCAAACTTCTGAGAGTGAGCGCGAACAAATGATGCCAATAAAATGGCTTCATAAAGTACGCATGCGTGTTTGAGATCATTCCAAGAACTGTAGTTTGGACTTAAGTTGGATGGTTTAAGGCATGTTGCATAAAGGTCCTCACCGTTTGACTCACAGTATGCCGCTGCCGGATATGTACATGAAGCCTTTTTAGCGATTATTGGATAGAAGTAGTTTAGCGAAGCGAAGGAATAGATTTTATGACCATTATTTAACTATTGGCCGAAACAAAGCGGTCTAATAGCCACCCCACACCCCTACTGGAGGCAGAACTTTGGCTGGTTCTGTTTTTAACCCGACTCATGCCAGGTGCCGGAAGGTGTGAGGAACAAAGGTGCACAAAGCCCTGTCTTGGTATTTCCATAGTGTTGGGAGACTGGCAAGCTGCTGGACGAGGCCAGTCGTTTATCCTCCTCGTTGTGATGAGGGTCAGGAGTCAGCCCACTGCTGGAAACTCCGGTTAGAAGGGCTCACTTCTATGTCAGGCAAGTGAAACATACTCTGGCACCATCCTCACAACTCCAGTCTCATAGAGAAACAATGGCTGTTATTAATATATCTAAGCAAGGAACATACTGTTTTTCTATTTTAGGACACTATTTTTTTTAAGAGGCCTAATTATACAAATGAGTCTAGAAAGGCGAGGTCCTATTGAACCATTTGGACATGTTCATATATGAAATAATGCACTGCATAGTTTTGCAATGGGTTTTATTCAAAGTAGTCCCAAATACCACAAACCAAAATAGATTAACATTAGTATAATTTAATATTTATGATGATTGTTAAGCAAATATGCTATATAAGAAATTAAGAGAAAAGTGAAACTAATTTTGTTTAAAATTTAAGAGAAAGGTTCTTTAGCTCGGACCCAGAATTTTCCTAATACAATTTTTGTGATTTAGGAAGGTTGAATTCAGACCCTAACTGTGCAGCCTCAAACATTTCCATAAGGGTTCTTAACATTTTTTCAGACCGCGGAATACTCTTGGAGTCCCATGAAGCCTATAGCCTCTTTTCGTAAATAAAATACATAAAATAATACATAGGATTACAATAGTATTAAAATAATTATTAAACCACTTTAAAAACATGACAGTAATATGTGCATCTTTGTTAATGTATCATAAAATGTAGTAACAATGGTATTTTGGAAATGAGCATAAACACTATTTCAAGATTCTTGTAACTTTACTGAAAATATTTCTGATTTCTATCAGTCCCAATGTTAGGAAATTCTAAATTTTAGGTAAAGGTTAATGGAAATAGAAGAATAAAAAGAAATTTCCTAACCCATATTCTGGGACACTTTAAGGGGTCAAAAACCCCTTTGAAGTCTGTGTACACCATGTTAAAAAATCTGTTATGATACCACAGGAAAAGGCAGACTGGAATGCAGCACTTAAGTTTTAAAAATAAATACAAAAATAAATAAGCAAATCAAGCTATGTATGTTCAGGCAAATAAATTCCACTCCCTTCCTAAACATTTTGTATTTCCAGAATTTAGACAAGTCCTATTCCAGAACACAATTTAGTTTCTCTGGATTGCACATCCAAGTATTTTAGTTTCTGGACCTGTTTGCATTATATGCGTAACAGGAAACCATTTATTTTACCCCGTCAGTCTAACTTTTGTTGTGAGTTAGGCTGACTTATAGAAATATCCAGTGTCACACTCTTTTGAAGTTACTTGGGTGGCTCTTAAAAGAGCCTTTGGGTTCTTTGGAAATTGGCTTGAGGAAGCTCTTCACTTCTTAGATGCTGCCCTTCTAGGATTGACTTTATGCTGGGTCAATTTTGGCTTCGCAGCTTTGGGCTTCCCAGGCCTCGCCTTTGCTGGGCTCTTCCGCTGTTGCTTGGCTTTGGTTCCTTTAGCCTTCCTTCCGCTCCTCACAGCTTTTTTAGCTGCAGCTGCCGCCCTCGGCTTCTTGGCTTTCTTATTGGCCTTGACACTCTTTGATGGTTTTGAATCCCTAGATAAAGACAACTTTTTGGTCTTGTTAGAAGCTGACTTCTTGACTTTGCCCTTGGTGGGTTCAGGCGCAGCCTTCTTGCTGAGCTTGAAGGAGCCAGAGGCACCGGTACCCCTGGTCTGCACCAGAACCCCCTTGCTCACTAAACTTTTAAGGCCTAGCTTGATACGGCTGTTATTCTTCTCCACGTCATAGCCAGCGGCCGCCAGCGCCTTCTTGAGCGCAGCCAGCGACATGCCCACTCGGTCCTGTGTCACAGACAGAGCTTCAATTATCAACTTAGACAAAGAAGGATTTGGGGCCTTGCGACTTGCGCCCGACAGACCAACTGCCTTCTTCCCTCGCTTCTTGGCTGGAGACTTCTCCATAGTAGCAGGAACAGACTCGGCTACAGCTGCAGGAGCCGTTTCAGACATCCCAGCACCGAAGAAGAGAAAGTAATAACCACGGAGAAGCGTAAATTGCCGCGGGGCCTCAGGGCCTTATATAGGGCAAGGCGCGCTGTGATTGGTGCATTGCCTAGGCACCGCCCCCGCCCCTCAGAGGAGGAGCATTTGTGTTTCTTTTACCCCGAAAAATTGAATCCTGCAAAACTCCTCTGTACCTAATCTCCTCGGTTCTACTGCTGAATGATCCGTGGGGACTCAGATTTTACATACCTTTTCACCTTTTAATGAAAAATGACCCTGCATGCCAAAACTATTCAAGAAAGCCCTCGATTTTCAGCCAAATTCAAGGCCAAGAACAAAACTTCCTCTTTTCCTTGTAAAATCAAATGTAATTTTTTGCAGGAGACTTATCTCATCTCTTCTGAGTGGTCTTCTAAATGGGTGGCTTCCAATGGGTGGAGAAAATAAATTATTCATGCCATGATTGTATTGAAAATAATTTATATATGTGAGGGAAGTAACACAGATCTCTTAGCTGTCTCACTGCGGAGTTATATGTATAGAATTGTCTAAAAACTTCAGAGGATGACCATATTTAGGTAAGTGCAATCTAATAAACCAGAGTTTATAAGGCACATGGGTGGTCTGTGATTAAAGCCACTTCCCTGTCTCTGAGCTTTATAGAAGACTCAAGGATGGTATCTGCTTGGCCAAAATCAGTCCACCCTCAGGTCTGGTATCTTCAACTGAGTTTTGCTTCTGGTTTCCTTTATTCAACTCCCCTCCATTCCCCTTTTCCCTTAGATAAACAGACACAGTGCCTCCCCTCAATGAACTATAAAACTTGAGGCAGGAACCCTTGCCTGAAGAATCCAGGAGAAACCACAGGACCTGATCTAAGATGGGGCTGGCAAGCGTGGATGCAGAGCTGTGGGAAAAGGGTTGTTGAGAAAATGTCCAGTATGCTCCCCTGAGGCCAGCTTCGACTGGCCTTTATGAGAAGTCTGGAGTTAAGAGTTCGCTCGTGAAGGCCAAGGCCTTTCTGGAGGATGCTGACGGAGCAGTGTAGGGTGACCAGAGCCTTAGGGTTTCAGCAAAGGGAAACCCTTTGTAAGGGCCATTTTGTGAAGATCCCCAAATACTCCTGTGACAAATTTGGTAGTTCTTCTGTGAGCCAGGGAGCCATAAGAGGTTTTTAATTGAAGAGTTTGTTGTATTGTTATTGTTGTAGTTGTCTTGGGTTTAGAATTATTGCGTAAATCATTAGTGAGAAGGCCCAGCTTCGGAGTCTATTGCAGTAGTGTCAGATTGCCAAAAGATTTGCCTGAGGCACGGGGTGGGAAAGGGGAGGGTGAGTCTATATTTGAAATATTTCTGAAGCAAAAGCCAAAGGATGAGACTTCTACCTTCTGATTGTAAAGTGAGGTAGAAAAGTCTCTTTTTCTCTTTCTATCTCAAACATATACACACTCACACACACAAACACCTGAAACAAAAATTCAGAAAACAACACTACTAGTCTATTTCATTTTTAAAAAAACACTGGTTGCAAATCATGAAACTGACTTCACAACATACTAATGCACTATGACCCTCAGCATGGAAATATTTCTCTTGATAGAGACTACAGGTACATCTTTCCAAGAACTCTTTGTTTTTATACTTACTTGGTTTCTCTGACCCTTGGTAATCCCTGAGTGTTTGTATCATTAATTGTAAGTGCCTTAGGGGTCAAATTGTGGCTCAGGTTGATCTTTATATTTACAAGTTAACCAAACATATCGTTCCATGCTTTAATACTAACAGAATTGGAGAATTTAGACAATTCTTAGATTCCATAATTTAAGACCCAGAAAAAGAACCATGATTCATATTTTGCATTAGACTAAAAAGGTACCATAAAAACAAATAACTTGTACACACACACGCACACACGTATAGTATACAGTGCTTAGCCTGTGCCAGTCATTGTCCTAAGTTTTTCTCTTTCTCTTCCCCAAAATGTTGAAATTCATTTTATAGATGAAGAAACCGAGGCACAGGAATATCATGGGACTTACTCAAGATCTTAGAGCCAGTGAGCAGGCAGGACAACTAGGATTTAAGTCAAGAAGTCCCGCCTTAAAAGGCTTTGCCCCTCTTTTCCTCTCATTCTTGGGGCTCTCCGCAGTAGCTGCAAATATTACATATATTGGGGTCTTTTTTTTCCTTTTTCACTTAGTATGTCAGGACTTATATGTTCATATGATAACATTTTTAAATAACCTTTTTTTGTGTGTGGAGCAATACACATGTATTTTTATTTGTAAAATATTTATATTTTTAATACATAAAATAGAATTTTATTTTTAAAAATTCTCTATTGTGGGAAATTCGGTCCTCTGAACTTTCATTATTGAAATAAAGCTCCCATAAACATTATCTTAGATAAATTTTGATTGGCATCTGTAACTTCTCAGTAGTAAATCAATGAATGCAGTCACAAAGAAAATAAAAGGAACTATTTCTTTAAAAAAGTAAATAATAAATTCATATCTCTGGTGATATGAAAAGTGTACAGCCTATTTTTAATATTAATTTTACATTCTAGTCTGTAATTTTTGGTAATATTTTCACATATTTTTATTTCTGTGTGTGTGTGTGTGTGTGCACATAAAATAAAGGCATCAATTAATTTTGCTGTGCTCTGTGAGATTAGCAGGGTCTCACTTGCTCCACTCCTGTATTCACTTCTTCTGATATTTAGACCTACTTTTTAAAACTAGTACTTCCTATTCATATGCTTGTTCCTTTTTCAAGAACTATTTTTGAACTTTATATTTTGTTTGCAATCTTCACAGACATTATTTCACAGATCAGCCTTAACTCTCAGTTCATCTGATTTCATCATTTTTGAATTATTTTGATTGCTTTATTTTGTTGAACTATTGAGTAACGAATTTGTTTGTATTGTAGAAAGGTTATGTGAACAATTCCATGTTTTGTAAAAATCATCTCTAAAATTCTCCAAAAGTCAAGTATTTATTGAATATTAAATGCAGGTATGATGCTGTTTCAGGGCTGAGGAACAAAAAAAATCATATTTTAACTAAAAAATATTATTTGATCAATAAACTAAAGAAATTGCCATTTATTTTAGCAGATCAGATCTAACATATGCAATGACAACAATTATTAGGTGCCTAAATCACTGTCAAGGGTAATAATTGTCTCAGGGTCTCAAGGCAGTCACTTTGAGAGATGGCAGGAATACTGTCCTCTCTATTGTTGGATGAATCCAAATGATTCATTCAGAAGGTTTCTCTTGCTCTTTTGTAAACTACACATCTTCCAGAGTCCTGGAAAACATCTAAGAGGAGAGAGGAACCAAGCTTAAGGCCACCACTTAATTAGGATGCACTGAAAATATCTGACCTGGAAGAGAAGTTATTTGCAGAGCTGGAAAATACAGCTGGGGGAGCCATCTAGGTAATCTTATTCCTGTTCTTCCTGACATTTCGACCTCTCTTATTAGTTATTTATTTGTAAGTAAAGACATATCCAAATCCATGACAGCATCTATTGTTTTGAGACTGTTTGATAAAAGCCATTCTTACTGGGTTAGGTGATATCTCATTGTGGTTTTGATTTGCATTTCTCTGATGATTAGTTATATTGAGCCATATGTTTATTGGACATTAGTTTATCTTCTTTTGAAAAGCTTCTGTTCATGTGAGAAAGGAGCCCTTACACACTGTTGGTGGGACTGCAAACTAGTAAAACCTCTATGGAAACTAGTATGGAGATTCCTCAAAGAAGTAAAAGTAGACCTACTATTTGATCCAGCAATCCCAATACTGGGTATTTACCCATAGAACAAAAAGTCATTTTATCAAAAAGATACTTTCCTGTAATGTTTATTGTAGCACAATTCACAATTGCAAAGATGTGGAATCAACCCAAGTGCCCATCAGTGCATAAGTGGATTAATAAGATGTAATATATGTATACCATGGAGTACTACTCAGCCATAAAAAATGAATTAATACCTTTTGTAACAATATGGGTGGAACTAGAGACCATTCTTCTGAGTGAACTATTACAAGACTGGAAAAACAAACATAACATGTACTCACTATTAAATTGGAACTAACTGATCGGCACTCATGTGCACAGATGGAAGTAAAACTCAACAGAAATCAAGCAGGTGAGACTGGGGAGGAAGGGATGGGTGAGATCATACCTAATGGGTACAATGTACACTACCTGGGTGATGGGCCTGCTTATAACTTTGACTCAAGCAGTACAAAAGAAATCCATATAACCAAAATATTTGTACCCCTGTAATATTCTGAAATAAAAAAGAAAAAGACACATACCCACATCATGGTATTTCTTAATTTGTGACTAATATGTATAATGCTAGCCACACAGACTAATGTTCAAAATGTGTCTATGATCAGCTTATTGCTGGATGACTGGAATAATTTTTCCAAGCTACATGAGCCAGTTTTTGAAAGCAAAGAGACACAAGCATTAGAATTTGGGTGAATTTTCTATTGTACTGCAATCTGGAATATGGAATAATCAGATAAAAACATGGGGTAAAACGACCCTTGCTAATAATGAAGGAAATTTAATTTGAGTTTTTTTGGAGGGGAGGCAGTTGGGTTGACAATGCTTCAAAAAAAAGTCTTTGTAAGTATGAATGCTATAAAACAGGAATTTCCATATTATGTTGAGATTGTAAATTGGCATAGTTCTTCTGAAGTGTAATTCGGCAGTGTATATGTTAAGGACGTTAGAAAATGCTTTTCACTTCTGATTTAGTATTTTCTACTTTGAGAAGTCTATCCTAAGGAAATAATCAAATATTTGAACAAATATTTACGTACAAAGATACATGATCTGTATGACCTATAATGCATAAAAATGAGATTCAATTGAAATAACCAATAACAGAATCATATAAGTATTGACACATTCATAAATAAATATTACAAATCCATAAAAATTATTTCTCAGAATATTTAGTTACCTAAATATATATAGCATGACAGCTACATTTGCTTTATATATGATATATATTTATTGTATGTACAACATATGTATTCATATTCTTGTATACATATATCTTGCAAGCATATAAAAAGAATAGGAGTTACTTTTTTTTCTTCATATGTTTCTCTTTTCACAAATTTTTAAAATGAACATTTAATATTTTTATACTCAGGGAAAAAAAAAGCTAATGTTTTAGCCAGGTGCTTATTGGTCCTTCCTTGATTGTTCAAAAAAATACCTTTGTTTATCCTCTTCTAGTATCACTCAAGTTCATTGGTTTATTTGTGAGATAAAATAGTGTCTAGCAGTGACAAGTAGTGAAAACAACATGTCTAAAGGCTGTTGCCTCCTCATGTAAAAAGAGAGAGATTTATTGATTCACTTCTGTAATTCACTAGACATCTGATATTGTACTTGACTCTGAGAATAACGATAATAATGATGGTGGCTAATGTTCATTGGGTGTTTCCTCCATGCCAGGCAGTGTTCTAAGCACCTTATAGATATCAATGTATTTAGTCATTACAACAACTTATGGGTAGCTGCTGTCATTCTACTTGCTTTATAGATGAGAAACTAAGGCACAGAGAGGTTGAGCTTCCCAGGTAGCACAGCCTCTGCAGTAAACCCACACTCTAGCGCTGGAGTCTGGATATTCTCTTAAATACAGGTCACATTCATTGTGACTGAGTCAGTGTCCTGGAAGTTCCATTTGATCTAAGTCTTGAAGGATAGGAATTTGTCAGATGAGAAAAAGAATTAGGACTTTCATAAAGGAGACATAGCGACAAAGTCCAGGTGGTAAGGATTGTCCAAGATGGGAACATCTGTTTGGTGGTGAGCCCTGGGGAGCTGCCTATGAGGGATACGGAAGGTCCCTACATGACAACAGGTTATAGAGCTTATGCTTTTTATTCCCACATGGGGCAGCTGTAACAGTTTCCAGAAACTTCCCTTCTCATCAGCTCATCCCTCTGTACTGCTGGCAGAGGAAGTCACCCCCATGTCCCTCACCTCCACCTTCCTTTAAAATAAGTAAAGCTAAATGAAGTATACCTAGTGGAAAATCACCCAAATAAACATTTAGTATGTTTCTTGGAGTGTTACAAAATACATTTTCCACCTCATCTTGACAAGTTAATAAAGGTAAAACTTTATGCTCTCCGTGTGTCCAAATCCAATGCAGGGAAATGAATGAAGGGTTTGCTTAATAGGGAATCCCCTTTAATACCTGTGGGCTGATACATTAGTCTGGCTAGGAGGTAGAGGTTTCTGTGACAAGTGTTCACACATTCAGCTAATCTGAAGGCTTATAATTGTGATTCAAGCTTCACACAGCTAACACCCAGACATCACTTTACTTTATAAAGACAGAGGCTTTTGCTATCTCTTTTGCATGTACTTGAAAAACAGTAGTCAAAGTCACATTTAGGTAGGCTTTAAAAAAGATCTCCCTGGAAACAAAGCCCGACGATGGTAGTGGGGGTGGGCATGGGGGAGGCAGTCCTCTCTGTCTAGTTGATGAGCGGCATGGTGTCTCCAACAAACCTTTGACCACCTCTGCTGACTCAAGGTGTGATGTTCCAAAGGTATCTATAATAGACTCATGGTTGGTTCAAATATAGTAGTCTTAACAATTTCAAGTGTCACATGTTCTTTTAAATACTGTTGAAAAGGCACCAAATTTAAGGACTGTGCTTGAGGAAACCACAGCTCTCCCACCATGTGCTCATACTCACTTTACACCTACCCTCAGAAGCTCACACCCCTAATGAGGGCAGTGACAATGGTACTAGAGAATGAGGGAAAGGTACTCAAAATAGTTCAGAGGTAGAACCAATGGGGCTTTGATTTCTCTTATTTTCTTTACTACTTGTTTATCCTTGCAGGGATTCTTATGTACTTTTCTTGAGTTAATACAGTATACTGCTTAGAATAGTGCCTGATACATACAAAGGGCCAGCTACTATTGTTATATTAAGCATTTACATTAAATGTTAATATGAATATTATCATGTTTACTACTATGCCTAATCCCCCTTTCCTGCTTTCCCTTTCCCCTTTTCCTAGCACTTACCCTTTCTTACATTCTATATAATTACTTATAATAACTATTGTTTGCTGACTATTTTCCCCAGCTGAGATGTAGGCTCCATGAGGGTAAGGACTTTGTCCTTTTCCAAGGAGACAGGCATTGAAGATGGCTTCTGAGCAGCTGAAGGTATAAGAGCCAGATGATGGTACTTCAGAATGAGAGGGAAGAAACCCCTCCTTAGATCCTCCCAAGACTCTGTCTACATTCTCTCTGTGCTAGATATTGTAACCGGCTGATGAGAAGTCATTGTGAGACCTTTTTAAAGGTACAGAGAGTTAGAGGAAGAGGGAAAAGGAAAAGCATTAGAGGGGAAGTACAAAGAACTGGGCAGGATGACAGACAGAATTTGCAGCCAGAAAATTCATCCATGAAGACTTGTTTGTTTTTCTGGCCTGGGCACACAGCCAGTCTGCATTCCCTGCTTCCCGGGTGGGTAAGTGGGCCTGTGACTTAGTTTTGGTCCAAAGGTGGACAGAAATAATGTGTGCCACTTCCAGGCCTGACTTATGAAAAATCTCTTTCATAAGTTTCATAAATTTTTCTTTCTTCTTCAGTCTGTGGTCCAGATGTTGAGGCTGCAGCAGAGACCTTTGAAACTCCAGGATGCTGAAGGTACAAGATGGATGGAGACCTTGTCCCTGAAAGATCATAGAAGTGAGCATTAAACAATATAATGACATAATAAACTTTTATTGTGTTTAGACCTAAGTTTCAGGGTAGGTTTAATACAACAGCAAGTGTTACTTATTTTGTGTTTTGTTTTGTTTAAGAGATGGTATCTTGCTGTGTTACGTAGGCCAGACTCAAACTCTTGGGTTTGAGGGATTTTCCTGTTTCCACCTCCCTTGTAGCTGGGACCACAGGCACTTGCCACCATTCCCTACTTCCTTACCTTGTTTTGATCTGAGGTTTATCTATTGAAACAAACTCAACATGGCCATCCATAATAGCACAGATCCCCACCAGTCTATCTTACCCAGGCTTTACTCCCAGATCTAGTCTTTTATTCAATTATTAACATATATTATCCCCTAGCAAACCTCAGCACCTCAAAACTTTTTATACACTAGCTGGTTCCCTAGAGACCATCTGCTGTTGGGGTCTCATGCTTAGCATTTCATTTGTTGGATCATCAATGCAATTCCTCCACCCTTACATAGTCCTACCTAATCCTGCTTTTTTTTTTTTTTTTTTTTTCGTTTTTCTCCATGACACTCACCTTGTAATAGACCAAATATTTGCTTATTTATTATGTTTTTCTGTCTTACTCTACTAGAGTCCTAGCTTTCTGAGGGTAAAGACTTTGTGATGTTTTTCACTGACATATGCACATGTAGAATGGTGCTTGACACATAGCAGGTATGCAAAAAAATTATAGAATGAGTTGATAAATTCGATCATTTTTGTGTCCCAGTGATAACAAAACTGTGGCTCAGTGATAGGGATATTGTGTTAACCAAATCAAAGCTCAGAACCTTTTGAGCGTGACAACTAGACAAGTAATGACAATTGAGGGCAGATTGTGCAAAGGTTACACAAAGCCGTTGGGAGGAGGTGGTCAGAGATACCACCTAGGGAATACAATGCCCATGCTAATGCTTGCAGAATGAGTAAGAGTTTCTGAGACAGGAAACGGAAAAAATATACATATATCAAAAAAGGAGGTCCAGCACATGTGAAGATCAGGAAACCAGGAAAAGTTGGGTGTGTGTATACGTGGCTGCTGTACACAGCATGGCAGAGATAGGAGCACAAGAGGCCCCAGAGAATGGGCAGGGGAAAAGCCATGTTTGTGTTTAGAGTATCCTAAAGGCAAGATTAAGCTCTTTCAGGCCCATTCCAGGCCACCCATGACACTCCAGCTCAAATGCAAGCAGGATGGAGACCCTTTTGCCCCTTCTCCTCATTTTCAGCTGATTAAAATTCCCAATCCACTCAGCCTTATTTATGTCTAGAATTGACTGGGCCAACTTCAATCTCTGATTCTTAGATCCTAGAATCCTGAGTACTCTACCCTCCAAGCTCTTACGCTGCTGCCTGCTGGGCATCTTTGAGCCACACTTGTGGCTAGCAGGTTTTCTTCCATTCAAAATTGCAAGCCTGTATTGTCTCTGTAGAAGTCTTAAATACACAATTTTATTTTTTTAATTTTTAGAAATATACTTCAGTGCATTAAAGCCCAAATGTGTGGGTATTTTAAAATCTAGTACTCAAGGTCCATCACTCCAATTGTTTAAGTAAAGTCCAACAATAAAAGGGGCGCATTATACCTTTCAGTATTTTTATGTGCTATCCTGTAGCTGAGTTTGGGCTGATAATAGTAGAGAAAAATGTGAGAAGAAAATTAAGAACAAGGTATAAAGGAAGGGAGAAAGGGAAGACAGGAGGGAGAAAAGAAAAGTAAGGACTGGGAAAGGTGATCACGCCCTGTAATCCTAGCACTTTGTGAGGCTAAGGTTGGTGGATTGTTGAGGTCATAAGTTCAAGATCAGCATGAGCAAAATAGTGAGATCTCATCTCCACAAAATAAACTTTCTTTCCAAGTCAGGCAAGTGTAATTAAAAAAAAATTAAGTTAAAGAAATTTTTTTAAAAAGTGAGAAAACTTTATTCTTATTGTTTTTGAATCCAATTCTTTTACTGTTGGGAGAACTTGATATGGTCAGAGGACAAGTCTAGGGTTGTAACTGATAAGGACAAGATTTTACTCCAGGGTTGGCTCCTGTAGATATATCTGTCTCCTGAAAGAAAGAGATGAGCACCATCATTTTTGTTCCTTTATCCCTTCTGAACCAGTAACAAGGAGATCTAATAACAAAGCATGAACAACCACAGCCAGATGTAGCCTTATCTATTAATTATTCTACAGACTGCTCATTTGATAATAATATTACACGAGTCTTTAAATGAGCCAAACAAAGTCCCATTACTATTATTATTTTATTCTTCTCAGAACTGAGGTTGGGGGTAGAAAGAAACAAGCTCATTCTCCAGATTTATTACCTTTCTCCTAATTTATAATGAACCCACAGTACTTGAGAATATGTCAAGCTGATTTTCAGAGCCCAAAGAATTCAGTCAGACCCTAGAATATTTCACAGGAAAGGTCACAGACAGCTGTATACTCTGTCAAATTTAATTTTATGCTTAGTCAGCCAGGATTGCACAGGGTGAAAATTTGGAAAAGCTAACTAATTTTTAGTATCTTTTAATTTAGAACAACTGAGACTGTCTGGCAAAGTGTTAATTACATACACTCTTTTATTCCCTCAACCTATTGGACCAAGGTAAACACAATACAATCAGTTGGAATTTTTATATCGAACAATTTGTGAAATTCCTATCATTTACAAAAGGCCAACTCCTACCAAGGTCTTAAGTCATAAACTACTTCAAGTTCTTTTAGGAGTGTAGGATGGTTATAAATAAAATTTGTCAAACAGGAGCAAACAGTGCTTTATAAGCATTAAAGATCTTTACTCCTGGCACACTTCTAGAATATAGCAGTTATTGCCACCATCCCCATGGTACAGAAGAGGATAGTGAGGCACAGAGAAATTAAATGACTCACCTCAAAGTCTCACAGCTAATAACCAGTGATCTGGGAGTCAAACTTGAAGATTCTGTGTTCAGAGACTTCACTTTTTTCATCATGGAGCAATGCTGTGCAGTCATGTTACTGGCATGATATCATTTCTGGGATAAATATTCTATATTTGCTACTTTATTTTCATCTCATCTTTATGTTTATGTAATTATTACCACCCTAAAAGCTCAGGATGGTTGAGTTGGTTAAACAGTAACACATTTAGTTAATTATTAGCACACTGTTTACTTGTTCACAAAGTATATCAAGGAATCAATTGATTTGATACAACAAAATTAAAAAAAAGAATAACTTATATAACAGAAACAGTGAGAAAAACCTGTAGACTCTCTAGAAATGGTATATTTTGTTTGCCCATATGCTCTAAAGGCATATTCCTAAGGACATACATAAGGACATAAATAATAAATTTCAGTAGAAAAGAGTTTGGTATGGATAGTCTGTCCTTGAATAAATGAAGAAAATTTTTAAAAGAAAACAATTAATGATTCTCTAGAAACTCTTAAGATTGGCTGCCTGCAGCATCATGACAGGCTGTCTCTGTAATATTTTCCACTGACACTCGAACATTTCTTAGGAGGGCTATGATAGAAATTTCTGGCACCAGAGTTCTCAACTCCCCATTTTGGGTACAAAAAGGAGTGAGTCAACCATGTGGGTTTTAGTCTTTTATTGACAATGGCTTTGTAACAACATGTAATCATCTGTATATTAAACAAAGAAGGGCCAAAAAACAGTTAAATGGGTATAATCACAAATATTATAAAAACTATTTCAAATCCTTATTGCCTTTAAGAAATTAATTAGCTAATCTTAGGAAAATAGGTCTCAAAGTCAGTTTGCTCAACTTCAGTTAAACAAGTTCAATTTTCCTGATTATTTCAACTCTATTTCAGACCACAGTCAGAAATAAATTATGTAGCTAGCATACATTCTTGTTTTGAAACTTTTAGTCAAGGTATAAAGGTCTTTGTGAAAAACATATAAAAAGTTAGCATGCCACACTCTTAAAGATTGAGACTCTGGGAAGACTAATAAAGGAGAAAAGAATAAAACAGAATAGTACCACAGGAAAAAGAAGAAAGAGGTTGGTTGGTTACTCTAGACCTCATTTTGATCTATAGTCTCTCAGGACGGAACTTCCTACTTCCAGAATTCTGAAGGTCTCTGAAGTCTCAGAATTTTATTTCCAATGGAAGTGTATATCCAAGTAGGATTCTAATTGTGTTTACACAGAGAAGCACATATCCATCAGTTCTGACGCTTAAAAGCAATTTTTGCTAAAGTTCTGAAAATGACACTTTCCAGCATTGTTATAAAGTTGACATCTGTTAGAGTCTTTTTGAATATAGTCTTTAGCTATATAGTATGTGTATATGCTTTTTAGAAATGTAGCTTGCCTTTGTTGTATATATGACAGTATAGCTAAGATGAAACATGTCAAAAGAGGTGAAAAACCAAGTTACATGGGTCTTTTAGTGCAATTTCAAATGGTGAGAATTTTTAGGTATCTTTGGGTATAGACCATTATACCATTATCATTATTACTAGGGTTAAGAGTAAAATTTTGGCACAGTAAATTTAAACTCTTTGGCAAATTTTACTTTAAATTATCTTGTGCAATCTTCTCAGTAGTTAGGAAATGATGTGGACTGATGTGATTTGTCTAGTAAGTATACTGTTATATATATGTTAAAGTAGGTTACCTATGATCTCATTTCTTCATCATTTAAAAGTATTGAAGGCATTCTTAGCTGAAGAAAACAAAATTCATATCTCAAATTCCCAAACTGCTGGGATTATAGGTGTGAGCTACTGCACCCAGCCTGCTAATATTGTGTTTCTTGAGGTATGACATTGAAGTACTGCCCTGACTTTATAGTTTTTCAATTTATAATTATAGATAAGGGAAGATTTAGTTACTTGTTAAGTCTTTGGGCTAATCAACATTTTTATAAAATTTGAACTAGTTTGTCTTTACTCTTGGAGTTATTTTTTGTTACATGATTATAAAGTCTGGAGATCGTTGGATGACACCAAGCAGTATGAGATTTCAGATAGTTCATTTTTGTTAAGGGGGCTGGTCATATTGGATTTTATTTTTTTTTAATTTGGAAATCAGACTAGACAATTATCATTATATTACTAATGGAGATAAATCATTAGGGCTATGTTTTGTATAGAGCTATTTTTTGCACAGAATTCAGGGCATTTTCTTTTGCATTGCCTTTAATTTTAACTATTGAGATTTCCCTCTGTTAGTTGTCCCTCTGTTTTCCATGAATCATTATCCACCTTCACCATATTTATTGAGCTGTTGAAATAAGTTAGAAAATCCGTTTGTTCTCATACAAGTTAATGTAATGAACAATTTCCAGACATATCCACTGTAAGTATATCTGTTGTTAAGCATTGAGCAAAGTGACATTCTCATATCTGAGCTGTTACGTGGACTGAGTTATTGTTTATAGAATATTTAAGTTAGCACATAACAGTAACATGTATACTTTGATTATTCTTCAGATTGTAATTAGGGTTGAACATTAGACAAACCAGAATGAAACAGATTTAGTGGGATAACAGCTGTTAGAAAGTCATGAGAGTCACCTTAATCAGAAGGAGGTCTGGAAGCTGGATTTAGATTGGAACAACATTTAAGAGCTATATTAAAAAGACTGAATAATAATTTTGCAAGTGAAATGTGAAAAATACAAATATGTTGAATTACCTTGCATCCTTCTTCTTTCATTAACGTATGGGAATAAATCATTGACTACCCAGTGACTATCAAGGAAAATCCAGAGATAACTTTAGTGTAAAATGCATCTTAATAGTTTATTCCTTTGAATTTAGAGCTTGAATTTAGTATGGGTAAAAAATAAAGTAAGAAAATAGGTTATTATATTAAGACATGAACATCAATCATGGTATATAAAAACAAGAAAAAGATTGCAGTCTTAATTTAGAATGACAATATATTAATTTCAATACACTACATTAACAATAAAAATTTTCTTAAGAAATAAAGACTAAACATAGCCATTATGTTGTAGGCTCATGTGTGTTTCTCTGTAGCTAGAATAGTACCTGGTAGAGTCAGAGCTGTTTGGATGAACAGCTCTTAAATTATACAAAGGAGGCAACTGTGTTTCCTTAGGCACAAGGAAAAAGGTAGATGGTCACCCAAGACCTGCCAGGTTGTCTGGGGCCACACATATACATTACATATTCCTTTTACAAATTCAAAGTGGCAAAAGCTAGAATATCTATTGTCATTTTTCTAAGACACTCATATGTTCTCTAAGTTGTTAACTGATGGTTCTAAACTATGTAAAGATGGTAATGGCAAAGAGTAACCTTTTTAGTGATTTATATTTGTCCCTCCAATTTAGAAATTGTCCAGGTATCCAAGATTAAACATTAATTTACTCAATTTAATATTCATCTAAATTCTTAAAGTTATCATAGATTGTGAATTCAGTATGCAAGCTGACAGACATATTGAGTGAGACCTTATAATTTGTGACATATAACAATTGACAATAAAAATTAATTCTATTAGTATAATGGATAATTTATAATTTTAAAATTATAAATAAAGTGATGTTAATTCATATAACCAGTAAACCTAGTGGAAGATATTTAGCAAATTAAAATTAATTAGTTTTTTGGGTTTTTTACAAAATGAACCCTAGACTTGTGTACACTGGAATATTATGGTAACATAATTTTACATTATGATAATAACAAAAAAACTATTTTGAAAAGTAAGCTAGAGAATTGGTCAAAAAGGTAATATTGATTAGAAATATTATGTTTTTTCTCTATAAAATTATATACCAAGTATTAAAATGTTTAAGTTGTTTAAAAATAGTGTAGTATTTCTGGGTTTTTTTTCCTTATACTTTACCCTGTTAACTAAGACCACTAATTAAACTCACAGCTAAACTTTCCTGTAAAAGAGTTAATAAACAGCTGAGAATATAAATATGTCTCTGATTCCTTTCTAAGAATGATAGAAAATTCTGGTTTTCAGCGCCATATGCCTTACAATAAACTCATTACAATTTAGAAAATACTAAGTCTTTGTTTTATATGGGTATTGGAAGCACTTTTTTTTCTGATTCAATTGTCAAATTTATAATAACATCATATTTCTTCTCTTCTTTCTTTTTTTCTTTTTGGGACAGAGTCTCACTCTGTTGCCCAGGCTGGAGTGCCATGGCATCAGCCTAGTTCACAGCAACCTCAAACTCCTGGGCTCAAGCAATCCTACTGCCTCAGCCTCCTGAGTAGCTGGGACTACATGTATGCCCCATGCCCAGCTAATCTTTTCTACCGGTATATATTTTTAGTTGTCCAGCTAATTTCTTTCTATTTTTAGTAGAGACAAGGTCTCACTCTTGCCCAGGCTGGTCACGAACTCTTCTCTTATTTCTAACCTTACTTAAAGAGCCTGAAGGGACAATAATTTGGAATTATTGAATTGTAACCTTTAGAGCCTTTGGCATAGTACTTAAAGAGACAAGACATTGAGTTTCCTTGGTTTCTGTCTAGTTCTAAGTCTCTTGTTACTCCTAACATTTTCTTAAAGTCAAAAGTTACCATAAGCAGCCATTTTATATTATCTTTGACACATAAATGCTATTTTTGCAGATATTGACAATTATTTGGAGTCAGAATGAGTAAACATGAAAAAAGTTTTGGAAGGAGGAAAGAGGCATACAAACACAAAACACCAAACATGGTGGATTTCATTAAAGGCCAGAAAGAAAAACAAATCTCTGACCCTGTCTTCTCAAAGAAAGAGAATATCAACATCCTTAAACACAAATAACCCAAAAAAGATTAATAAATGAACCAGATTTCCTGTCCTTGCCACTGACTAATCACTTAATGATGTGGCCATAAAACCTTAACTAAACTGGCACTACTGCTATTAATATGTAGCCAATCAGCCAAGTGCAATCAGAATAACCAAGACAAGAAGCAAATTTGGGCAATAAAGTTTTAGTATGCAAAAGCCAGGGTAAGGTGGATAGAAAATTCAATGGGCCCAGGGCTCAACAAAGTGTACTTTCAGGCCACACATTTCTGTTGGCTCTTATTGCAAGAGTCAGGTAAACAATGTCTTGGTGGAACCTCCAGAAATAAATGGTCAAGGAGTTAATGATCAGCCTACCATTTACTTGTATCAAAGAGAGAACAAGCAATAAATTTCATCCAAGACCGGCAAAGCAGAATTTATATAAGAGAAAGGTGAAGGTAGAGGGCAAAAAACGTTGCAATTGGTCTGAGAACAGTGAATCTTGTTTGCAGTTTTTGGTTAAACTGATCAGTTGGCAGTTAGGAGTAGGTTATTCAGGATTGAACACAAGGCCTTGAATAGGGCCACTAGTGGCATAGAAAAAAGAATTCAGTTGTGAGACTCTGGAAATCTTGAGTTTGGCTGTGGAGCATGAGTGACAAACATCTGTCAGTGTCCAACATCTGGGCTATCACCTTAATTACCATAATATTCTAAATCTAAATCACATAGTATTTACCTAAAATTGTTTAAAATAATCTTTTTAAAGTAAGTTATTTTTCATTTTTAATGAAGAAAGCAAATTTCAGTCTTAACAGCTGAAAATATGTTCTAGGCTTGAATAAAATAGAGTGCTTCTACTCTTTCAACTAAAATCTTCGCCAGAAAGAAAGATCATAAGTAAAGTGCTTCAGGGAAGATGGCATTTCCCAGCCTACAAAGCGGCCTGGAGGGGAAAGTTCTCTAAGGAGACATACAGTGTGTCAAGTTTAACAGATACTCACTCCCTCCTTTTCTCCCACCTTCTGTCCAGCTTAATTGCCTTCAGTCAGTCTCCAGTGGAGGCTTGTCAATTCATCCAGCATTTTGAGCTGGCCTCTCCTAAATGAGAGCTTTTCAACAACTTTTGCATTTTGCCAGCCACCTACGAAATTTAAATTTAAGGTTTAATGCTGAGACACCACCAGACAAATTTTGGCAGAGATTGAGCACTGGGGTTCAAAAAAACAAGCGTTGGTTTGAATCTTAAGTAGATAAGCCAAGTGAATAGAGGACTACGACAAATAAAGCAGCATCTGCCAACGGTTTACGTCAACATTAGTTCTGCACTGCATTCGTCCCACTAACAAAACTATTGAGAAAGAAAAATTAGGTTAAGAGACTTTATTACCAGAACAGTTTACAAGGGCAGGAGATGCAGCCTTGTTAAAGAACAAATGTGTGCTCCAAAAGAACACAAAAGGGTTAATGTGTGTAGGAAAAAAAAGTTCCTGCTCCAGTTCTCACTCCGGTCCGCTAAGTAAATGACACCAGCTTCCAACCAGCCTTTGCTTTAGCAGGGGTAAACAGTAACAGCTATGAGCCTCTCAAGTCATAGGAATGTGCGGTTTCTTGTGGGAATGCCGAGTACGTGTGTGGCGTCTAGTCATTAAATGGCCGCTTGGCTCCATTTTGAATTTAGGCTGTTAGTTACCATTCATTTTGATTAACTGCCTTTCAGGGCTCACTATTCATTTAAAGTTAAAAAAGTAATGCTTACTGCCAGCCCTTTCCAACAAACTCTCAAACTGAATATACTGTCTGGTCACAGCTCTCTTTGTGGATATGGGGGTGGCTCTTAAAAGAGCCTTTGGTATTAAAGGGAAAGACGCTTACTTGGCAAATTTACTTGGAGCTGGTGTACTTGGTGACTGCTTTGGTGCCCTCGGACACGGCGTGCTTGGCCAGCTCTCCCGGCAGCAGCAGGCGCACCGCCGTCTGGATCTCCCTGGAGGTGATGGTCGAGCGCTTGTTGTAATGTGCCAGGCGAGAGGCCTCGCCCGCGATGCGCTCGAAGATGTCGTTGACGAAGGAATTCATGATGCCCATGGCCTTCGAGGAGATGCCGGTGTCAGGGTGGACTTGTTTCAGCACCTTGTAGACATACACCGAGTAGCTCTCCTTGCGGCTGCGCTTGCGCTTCTTGCCATCTTTTTTCTGGGCCTTGGTCACAGCCTTCTTGGAGCCCTTCTTCGGCGCAGGAGCAGACTTAGCTGGCTCAGGCATTTTAAAATCTTAAAACACCAGAAGTGTGTGAAGTGAGCAGATTTCTGCTACTTATAGGGCTTTTTATGCTAATGAGGGATTCAAAGGCCGGCTTAGTTAATTGGAAGACAAACAGCGGAGCTGTCATCCAGGGGCTGAACTATGCAAATGAAGTATGGAAATACAGCTTTTCTATTGGCTACTTGTCTACTCTCTCTCCTAACCAATCAGATAATCGGAGTTACTCCCCAGAAAATACCTATAAAAGCAGCCATGTTTTACATACTTCCTGATCTCACTTATTTTCGTGATCTTAGGAGTGTAATTATTTTTTTCGTTTGCGATGTCTGGGCGAGGCAAGCAAGGAGGCAAAGCTCGCGCTAAAGCGAAGTCTCGTTCTTCTCGGGCCGGCCTTCAGTTCCCCGTGGGCCGAGTGCACCGTCTGCTCCGCAAGGGCAACTATGCCGAGCGGGTCGGAGCCGGCGCCCCGGTGTACCTGGCGGCGGTGCTGGAGTACCTGACCGCCGAGATCCTGGAGCTGGCGGGCAACGCGGCTCGCGACAACAAGAAGACGCGCATCATCCCGCGCCACCTACAGCTGGCCATCCGCAACGACGAGGAGCTCAACAAGCTTCTTGGTCGTGTAACTATTGCACAGGGTGGTGTCCTTCCCAACATCCAGGCCGTGCTGCTGCCCAAGAAGACCGAGAGTCATCATAAGGCCAAGGGCAAGTGATTTGACAGGCATCTGAACTTGCGGAAAGGCTATCAAACCCAAAGGCTCTTTTCAGAGCCCCCCCAACTCTCTCAAAGGAAGAGCTAAACTCACTGTTTTAGATACAAAGAAAAAGTATTTAAGGTAAGTTAGCCATAACTAAAGCTAGGATAGCCAGTTATATTCCTGCTTTGAGATTTTTGGAGTAAGGGTGAGTGTTAAGAAACGGAAAATAGCTTTACCTGTAGGAAATAAAGATCTAGTGTTTGCATGTACTTCATATCTTCACGAAGTAAGTGCTCTTCTGGACGCATTTTCCAAGGTTGAATGGTTGACTATGGTCAGGGATTCCTAACTACAGCTTAAATGCGGAGATGCCCTGTGGTTTGAAACCTTCGTTCTTATTCCTTTAAATAAGTGTTCAGAAGTTTTTGAAGGCAACCTGATCGGTAACCTTTACAGTTCTCTGGCTTAGACTCCCTTGGATTTGTCCTCGTTTTAGGCTGCAGGCAGTCCGCCTTTTCTAATTTTGTTAAGTTCTAAGGTCTACTTGTGTTAATGTTCAAAGTAGTCTGAAATTTAAACAGGACATTGAAAGGAGTCTCTAAAATTGGTCCCTCGGATTTGGTATGTAATATTTTACGATAGAACGTAGATTAGAATAGCAGCTCTTCCATTTGCCAGTGGTAAGGTTCAGCCAATTTCTAACCTCTGAAACTCAAATTTTATCTGTTAAATTGGGTGTAGACTGTGCCAGTTAAACAACCTAATATCCTTAACTTGGAAGAGTTTGACATTCAACGAACTGCAATTAATACTATTATTGTCTTGAGACTTGTGGTTCCCAACACAACCGGAAAAGCAGGTAGAGTAGGGCCACAGGCCTCCCCCAAACCTTTGCTCCTAGGAATCAGGAAACAACTGCTCCAACCACAAGAAGAGATAATCTGGAACCGTGCAAGAACTGTTAGGGTCCGATTTTCCTCCATTATTTGAGTCTCGGCAAGTTTTTCTTCTGGATGATGACTCGGTTTGTGCATTGGCAGGGAAAAGAGTGAGCAGAGAATAAGAGTGGGCAAACCTTAACCAAGTCAACTTGGGAGTTAAGACTTGCCCACGCTTCATCGTGCAACTGCTCAGACTAGCCAAGCAGATGCAGCCGCTTAGTCCAATGCTCCTGGAGTTCCACTGAAGCTGTTCACCTGGAATCCCAAGTGTGTACCCGGAGAGAATTTTTTTTTTTTTTTAATCCAAGGAGATGCTTCCTGTGGACTGGTCTCCTACTTTCCAGATACTGATACCAGTTTGGGGGGGGGGGGTCCAGTCTCTTCTCCTCCTGCCTCTCTCTACCTCCTTCCACTGCAGCCACCCTCAAAGGAAAAGACATGGGTGTCCAGGACTTAAGGTGAAGGCAAAGTGGCAGAAAAACAAGTGATCACCTTGATGGCCACGTGTTAGAATTTCTGGAGAAGTTTTTAAAGTTACAATGACTCTAATTAACAGCTGGGCTGAATCATCAGACTTGGGAGGTCTGGCCTCACCAGGCTCCTGGGCCCTGTGGGCTGTGAGAACTAGATGCTTTCCTCCCAGCATTTCCTTCATGTTGGAGAACATAGATCCTTAGGTCAGAATTGCTTCATATCAGCTTTGTGATCCTTTTGATTAACGTGTCACATTGCCTTTCAACACAGCTTCCAATAGGTGCATGACCTTGGCAGTGTTGCTTTTCCTGCTTCCAACTCTTCAGGCATGCCTGTGCTCCCTTGCCATGAAAAGAACCTACCTTGGCAGTGTGGATTTTGAAATTAGAACATAGGCTGATCGAGAAAGATTATGTATTTAGACATTTACTATATGCTAGGCACATTTCTATGTACTTCCAGCATATTCATTTATTTAATCCAACAATCTTATTTTTTTTTTTTTTTTGAGACAGAGTCTCACTTTGTTGCCCAGGCTACAGTGAGTGCCATGGGGTCAGCCTAGCTCACAGCAACCTCAAACTCCTGGGCTCAAGCAATCCTTCTGCCTCAGCCTCCCGAGTGGCTGGGACTACAGGCATGCACCACCATACCCGGCTAATTTTTTCTATATATATTAGTTGGCCAATTAATTTCTTTCTATTTTTAGTAGAGACAGCGTCTCACTCTTGCTCAAGCTGGTTTTGAACTCCTGACCTCGAGTGATCCACCCGCCTTGGCCTCCCAGAGTGCTAGGACTACAGGTGAGAGCCACCATGCCCGGCCTAATCCAGCAATCTTAGAGGCAGGTTCTAGCTCTATTCTGAATTTAAAGATGAGGAAACTAAGGAACAGAACTTAAACAAGTTCCAAATTTGTTGTCTAAATTCCAACGACAGGAAGCCAGTACTTCTAACTGCCGGCTTTTCTATGTTCTATAACCACCTCTCTCTTAAGAGATTATTGTCAGAAAGATGGAAACAGTAAAAAAAAAGGAAAAAAGAAGAAAAGAAAAAAAACATGATGAGTGAACTTTGTCCACATAGCAGAATGTTACTAATGGCATTCTAAACTCTGAAGAACTTAAGGGAAGCACCAGAGGTAATTTTCCCTAGAATCTACTAGATTCTAGGGAAAATTCCTCTTTAAAGGAAGAGAGGTAAATCTTAACAATATGTTTATACTGTAAGCCCAGAAAAAAAGCCAGTACACTTTTGATTTAAAGTATGACAAGTGAAACAAAGGAACAGGTAGGAAGATGGTTTGGTAAAAAGCTATAGGAGTTGATAAACTGATTAATTGTGAGGAAAGGAGATAAAGACTTGAGTTTGAATTATTCTCTGGGATCCAATAACAAAACTTTGTATTTCATCGAGTTAGTAGGTCAAATAAATATAAGTTATGTAACTTTAATATCTCCTAAAGGTCTTATTTCCAAATAGAGTCACATTGGGGTTTAGGGCTGCAATATATGAATTTTGGGGGACACAGTTCCACACATTCCACCCTTGGCCCACCAAAACTTATATCCATCTTCCATGCAAGATCCATACATTCCATCCAAACGGCCCCCAAAGTTTTAACTCATTCTAGCATCAATTCTAAAGTCCAGAGTCTCATCTAAATATCATCTAAATCAGATATGGATGAGACTCAAGGCACAATTCATCCTGATGTGGATTCCTCTCCAGCTGTGAACCTGTGAAACCAGACAAGTTACATTTTTCTAAAATATAATGGTGGGACAGGTGTGGAATAGAGATTTCCCATTCCAAAACGAAGAAATAGAAAAGAAGGAAGGAGCGATGAGCCGTAATAAAGACTAAAACCTGGCAAGGCAAAGTCCATTAGATCTTAAGGCTTGACAATAATCTTCTTTGGCTCAAGGCCTTGACTTGTAGGCCCACTGGTGTTGCAGGGTCACCTCCATGATTAGGGGGGTGGCCTACTCCCTTTGACTTGCCTCAAGCGCTGCTCTTCAGTTTGGTGGGTTCCCACAGGGGAAGCTCTCTGTGAGGACATCTTCCACACAGCTTTGTCGGGCATCCTTCCTCCTTGAAACTGAGGTAGAGTCAGCCTTTCCTACTCACTCTCATCCCTATCCTATCTCTGCCTGGGTACTCTGAGTCTGAGGTAGGAGTGGCAGCCCTAATGATCTCTGAATTGCCTTTGGGGTCCTTCTTCCCTTTCTTGAAAGATAGTACATATTCACTATCTGGCAGTGTCCTGTAGAATCCAAAAAGTCTGACAAACTTCTTCATTCCTTCCCATTTTCTCTAATTTAGTTCAAACTGGCAGTGTCCCTGCTGTTATAATCCCATTTCCCTTCCTGACTTTTGCTGAGATGGCTGATTATGTCCATGAGTTGTACCCATTATCTCTTTACCAAATAGTTGTTCAACCATACCTCTTCAAGGAAAGCTTTCTCAATTTTTTTACAATACGGATAGGGTGAGAATTTTCCAAATCTCCAAATTCTGATTCCTTTTTGCTTAAAAATTCCTTTTTCAATTCATCTCTTTTCTCCTAGATTTTACTATAAGCAGTAAGGTAGCCCTTCAATACTTTAGAAATCTCTTTTGCTAAATATGTACTAGAATATAGTTCATCCATGTTCTTTACCACTTTGTAACAAGGATTACATTTCTTCCAGTTTCCAATAATCTATCCCTCATTTCCATCTGAGACTTCACCAGAATGGCCTTTAATGTTCATATTTTAGCCAACATTCATTCATGGTTATTTATGTATTCTCTGAGAAAATGGAAACTTTCTCTCTAGTTCTCCTCTTTTCTTTCTGAGCCCTTACAAGAATTGCCTTTAACATCCATATTTCTACCAATAGTCCCTTTGGCTTTTTCTAACATGGACCTCAAAACTCATCTAGCTTCTACCCATCACTCAGTTCCA